TGTAAAATTCACCTTATAAAGATAATAAAAGTACCAAAAGCCCTTCTCTTACTTCTTACATATTGTGAAAGAATAAATAGATATTTTCCAGTTTTGGAGGTAGCCTTTAATGTGACTTTCTCCTTTTCGTAGTCACAATTTCCATATAAAAAAAAGTTTCTCATTTGATTCAGTAGATTTATAATCCTTGGGGGGGAATACATGCATCTTTGGCAGTTTTTTCTGTTTGTTGTGCCTTAGACGTAATGATGAAAGAGTTATTATAGACTTGCACATTTATAGAGAAACTGCAATCCAAATTAATTTTAATGATTTTACTGCAGTTATTTTTGTGATGCTTAATTTGTGCAGGAGTAATGAGATGGATAGCTTGATGGATAGCTTGCCTTTGCCTGTACGAGAGTTGAAATAACATGATTTCTTTTAGTAAGAGCAGGGCCCTGGAAGGTTACTTCAGCCATGTGGTGGCTGCCCTGTGAAACCTGTGCTGCCACTTATTTTGGTGCTAGGTCTTGATGTTGTTTGTATGCTGGGACATTTCATGTCTGGGCAAACACACTGTATAGCTTGATCTGTAAATGGCTTCTGCATTTTGCTGATTTGAGGATACACTGCTGGTGCGTCTTGGGTCTGAAACATCTGTAAAGAAAGGAGCGCTGCGCGGTGAACTGTTCATGGGTCCTTAGAGCGCATCTGTCTGCAGGGGCTTTGCCCTTCATTTTTCCAACATAGGCAGCAAATGAACTGGATATATCAAGTGGATCAGTTCAAGAGCCTCAGTCTTCATAGAATAAGTTGTTTATTTTAATTACTCTTGCTGTTTAATAAAGATCTTAATATTAGGGTATTTCCTTGGGTTTGAATCTATTTGAACTTGAAGACACAAGAGAATCCAGTAGTTCTACCATTTCACCTGCCTTGGAGACAAAAGAAGTAGGTAGACCCACTGAGGAATATCGTTTTTCTGTCTGGTTGCTCTATACTGAGTACCTTGAGACCTGTGTCCTGCAAGAGTCACAGAATAGTTGAGGGACCTCTGGAGGTCATCTTGTCCAATGCCCTGCTCCGGCAGGTTCACCTAGGGCTGGTTCCCCAGGACCATGTCCAGGTGGCTTTTGAATATCTCCAAGGATGGAGTTTTGGAAGAAACAGCTTTGGAGTAGTTTCCATCTAAGCTGCTGAAGAGAGTGTTAGTGGCTGCCCTTTCATGTGGCAAGTGCAGAGCTCCCAAGGGACAGGTAGATGTGTTTCAGCCCTGAATGTGCTGTGCATAGCTGTTGGCTCCCATGATGGCTGAAAAGTGACATAAAAGGTCATCCATGAGGAACACATGTAAATCCAAATGAGCAGTGGTATTTTACCTTGAAGAATAAGGTTTCTCTTGAAATAGGTAAAGTTTAGAACAGGCACTCCAGTGCTTCTGTTTGTTTTTGTAATAGTATCTCCATTTCTTTTGGGAAAGGTTTAAGGCATGCTCTCATCTAGTCTGGAGGTTGCTTTCAGGGCCTGACTTAGAAATATTCCAATACTAAGTGTTTTTAGAGCTGACTAGCTTCCACTGCATGGAAGAAGGAAACCTTACTGCCAGATTCCCAGAACAGGAATGTGCCAAAATCATGCAAAGAAATGGAAGTGGCTCATCTGTTCTGTTGTTCATCAAGATGGTTTCTGGACATCTGAATGCCCTACCCAATTTTCTTCGGCATTACAGCTTCAACAATGAACCTACAGAGGCCGTAGAGAAAAATAAAGTAGCTTTTGTTATGTGTCCCCCGTTCTCCAGATGTTCCATGCCATCAGGGAAGGGGCAGGGGTCAGCAGAGTATTGCAGTGGGTACTGCTCCCACAGGGGCTGTACTACTCTAAGTTATAATCGAATTTGGAATGTGCAGTGATCAGCATGAAAACTCTAGTTTGTTGGGTGAGTAACCTTTATTTTTTGTTGGAAAAGTTTCCCACTGAGATCATCTGACATCAAATTGTGGCAAGTTAAGTTGCATTTCTATTAGTTTGCTACAAAACTGATAGACACTCAGGTTGCTAGCAGCGGGTGTTGTACATTCTCATGCTTGCCCCTTCATCCCCTGGGCAGGTATTCTAAATTGGAAAAGCCTTTGGTAGCAACTGTTACTTTCTATAGTGTATGTTTGGACAGCATCTAGCACGACAGGTAACAACTTTTCTTTTTTTAAGTATCTTCTACATGTTCTTGCCTCTCAACCTGGATCCTTAAGAGATTTCTAAAAGGTGAAGAGACCAGAAAAGTAGGCAATTTATGCGTCTGGAGCACGGACATGATACATGTAACTATATTTCTGAGTAGAAAGCAAGAACAAAAGGGTTTTTTCTTTTTCTTCTATTAGTTCAGAGGTAAAAAGATTCTTTTGTTGTTGTTATTTTTTTTTTAACCTATAGAGATATTAGAAAAGTGGACTTTCCTGGAATTACTTTTTTTTTTTTTTTAACCACAAGTTTTTGATAAGGAAACCAAATCTGTGTGGCTGTTTTATAAATTCTGTTCTTTTTAGTTTATTTTTCACAATAAAAGCAAATTATGAAAGGGGTTATCTTGCAGCAATTTGAGCATTCTGTAAACAACCAACATCTCAGATGACCTTAGTCCCACTCGACTATCACATGCAACTGATTTTAAAAGCTTCGTAGCATTCCTAGGAGCAGATATGTCGTATTTCACAAGGCCGTATAATTCTGTCCTGTTCTCCCTTGAAAATTTTAGTTCTGTGGTAACTTTTTCTCCTTTTGATTTTCAAAAACTTAGTCAGCTCCAGTTCTCTTACGGCAGTGGAGTACTGTCCTTTCAAACATTGTTTCTTGGCCAGTCCCATGTCATGGAGCAGAGAATGCAGGACAGATGCTTCACGCCTGGCATACTCAGCTGTTCCTGAGAATAAAACTACTACGTGTGACTGGCAAGTACTGCTTGAGGCAGCATATGCTAGCTGTTAATGTGTGACCTTTTTGTCCTCAGTAACTCGACTACTTCTGCTCATTTAGAAAGAAAAAAAAAAAAAAAAAGATCAGAAATTTGGGCAACTGAGTTTCTGAATATCAAGCCACTGCTTTGTAATAAATGTATTTATCACTTCAAAACTCTAGTTCCAGATGTAAAGTGTTAATTGTATGCTGACCAGAGTACAGAGAGGTGGGTGAGAAGCATGGACTGCTGGCCAGGTTTATTGGAATACGTGGAGCTGCAAGTGATTGAATTACAGTGGCTTAAGAAGCTCCCGTCCCCTCAGCTGAGACTTTTACCGCCGCTAAGCTGACAAGCAGCTCAACTGATAGTATGCACCCTACCAGACTACTAAAAAATAAGTTGAGTTGTACTATTTTAATTACTGCTGCCACAGACTAACCTGGGAGTCACTGACAGACTGCTCTTCTGGATGGTGCAGCTATTTGTGGTTGTCTCAGCATAAGAGAATTCTGAATTTTGACTCCTTAATGAATAGTAACGGTCTTAGAAGCGAGACATGTATCTGAGTCTCTTGGTTTGTCTTTCTATTACCCAATCATCTGTGCTGGTGACACAATGAAACAGCATTTTTGCAGTAAGTCTGCCTTGCTGAAATGTGGCTTCTTTGGGACCAGTGCTGCAGAATAATCAAATAAATAAAAAAAATCCTCAGTGGAGAGATATTTTATACATATCAGTACCTTTAATAATTTACAATTACGTATGCTATAATTTTATTTTAAGTTCAAAATCTGTTTTCTCAAAAGACCAATCTTCTCCACCTCGCATCTTTTTGCTATCAATGCTTTCATGAAATTTAAAGAACTGGATGAAATCTAGTTGTTGAGATACATAGTACAAATTCTTCCTGCACTTGGATGTTTGCTGAGCTATACTACTGACTAATACTCATTAAGTGCCTTGTAATTGCAGACCTGCCTTTCCATGCATTTTATAAAATCATTCAAGGGAAGAACAGAAATACTCTAAATATCATATTCGCTACAAATGTAGGATTTATTTATCTTGGACTTCATGCCTTTCTGAAGAATTTATTGTTTGAATGTGTTTACTCTGCTCTTTGTAAAGAAAAGATTACAGAGGCATATCAGCATGGTTGAGTCTTTTCATTGAGGCGATATAAATAAAAAAGCAGCAGTCATATGGGTAAAACATTTTTGAAGTTTGTTGATTAAATAGGCTTATAAAACCAGTATGCTTTTTGTGGGTGGCTTTGGTTTTGTTCTAATAAAAAACCTCAAACGTTTTTCAGTGATGATGGGTATTTATTTTTGCGCTCTCATTGTATGTTTTATAATGTTCCTGCTGGACGTTCCACAGGGAGATTTTAACACACAGCATTTCTTCTGTTAACAGGCAGTGTTTCCCAGAACTGCTGGTCAATCAGTTGGGTTTTACTCTGCTGTTAGTATTTCTGTTGGTGGTTATTAATGAAGTAGTGTGAAAGAGCTGAAACTGATGGGTTGCTGAGCAGAAAGAAGTAAATGTCAGTGCGACGGCTGGATAACATGTAGAAAAAGAGATGGGTCAATAGAAAGAGGGTGGAAAAAACCCCCTCTGAATTAGGTAGGCGCTGGATTGGATAGCAGTCTGAAAAAGATCATCTTGGTTTAGGATCTGCAAACAATTAAGTAACGCATGTGGTTGCTGAAGAAACCAGCTAACAGTTGCGTAACTTATGCTTGAGGACAAATGATGCAGACTATGCAATGAAATTTTTATTCTGCACCTGTGAACTTCAAACATTTGCACATTCATTTTGAAACATCTGCTGAGGTTTTTTTTGTCCACTTTATGAAAGTAACTTTGGGATAGACCTCATTTCCATTTCTGACTGTTGGAGTTAAAAATTATCCATTATCCATTTTTTCAAAATGGATATGTATAATTCAGGATGGTTTTGAATGTAGATTTCCAGAAGACCTTAATAATCCTTTTACTAAAGCTAATATTTTATGCATAAAATCACTGACAAAAAATATTTTCCTTTCTTTGTCTAAAGCTGCGCAGAGTGAGGAGCGGCTATGTGCATTTAAGGACCCATATCAGCAGGACCATGGAATTAGTGAGAGCCGAATCTCCCAGGAGAACGGTACAATTTTGTGTATGAAAGGTAGTACCTGCTATGGACTTTGGGAAAAAACCCGAGAAGGAGACATACATCTTGTAAAACAAGGTATGTAGCGTTTCAGTGTAACAGCTGCAAAGTGAGACATTTTGTTTATGCATTTTACAAATGCATTATTTTAAACTTCCCACTTATCAATTGAAAATATGAACAGAAAGTTTGTTTGAAATAAATGACTTCTAGAAGAGACCAAAGGGATCAATGCACAGTTGAAGGAAAAAACACGCAAATTGCTTATCTTGGTATATGTATCGATGTAATCATAAATTTAAAAGTAAGTGTCTCATTAAGTAAAAATGTATATTTGTATTGATTGGATGCTTGTTTACAAAGGAAATTGCAGCTATAGCACAAAACTGTCACATGTCACTAACTGTCAGTTTGCTGCTGTTCTCAGGAGAAAGTGATGATGGTAGGGAGGGGTGCAGGGTCTTGCAGTTGCTGGAGACGTGTTTTGATTACTCTTCTCAGGGACTCTGCTCTTGGTTATGTGGATACAAGTTAATGTGGTATGAGGCTGAATGAAAACCAGTATTTACAACCATCCTGTGCAGTTGCAGTCAGTGTTGTTTCATGTTTGATCTGGTACATTTGTGCATAAAGGACATTTAACTGCCATTGACCATACTTGGGAAGGAACAGTTGCTGCAGGGGGAAAAAAGGCCTGCATTAACCAAGAAATAAGTTGCGATCCTGTAGAAGAGTCCAGTGATATTGACAATGAGGAAGGAGAGAATTTTTAGAAACTATGCAAGAAGCAGCAAACTGTAAATGCAGTCTTGTGGTGTAGCTCAAAGGAGGGGACTAGGTCACAATTTCTTCTGGACTGTGGGCCAGAGGGTGGTAATATTGTCTGTGGTATCAGAGAAATGGGGAATGGCATACTTCTGCTTAGAAGGCTCAAGAATTTGGGTTTTGCCATGTTGAAGTCGACAGCTGGACATCTCTGATGTTGGCCTTCATTGCTGCCCATATTTGTTCTCCTTGGCTGTGGTAAATTCTGAAAGAAATTCTCCAGTTTTTGGTTTAAAAGGTGCTAGTGAAGTCAGACAAGCAAATGATAACTGTTTTCACTCTATTCAGTTAACATTTAATTAGGTTATGTATGGATTTCTATAGATGTGTTTAATTGTCCATTCGATAGAATTAATTTTATGCCTCCTTTAAAAAGAGTTCTTTAATTCGCCTCTTCACAGGTTGCTGGTCTCATATAGGAGACCCACAAGAGTGTCACTTTGAGGAGTGTATAGTTACAACCACCCCTTCCTTGATTCAGAATGGAACATACCGCTTCTGCTGCTGTAGTACGGACTTGTGTAATGTCAACTTCACAGAAAATTTTCCACCTCCTGACCCTACCGATACAACACCTTACAGTAAGTCAGATGTTTCCATCTCAGTCATTCCATGGTTCAAATAATTTAGAGAAAGGTCCTTCTTTCATGGTACTGTAAAATGTGAAACCTCTGACCTTTCTATTTATATGCAACAGAAATGACAAACAGAGCTTTTCCATATGAAGTTTGTCACATTTATATATTCCAGTCTTCTGCAAGGAACAAGTTAAATGCTTACAAAAGAATCGTTAATATAGGCAACTGCTGAATGCAGATTACGTTTTCCAAAATGGTCTCTAATCTTGGGTGCTTTGGTATCTGGATGCCCAACTTCAGGAGCCTGTGGGGATATTCAGAAGGATTCAAACTTCTGTTAAAAACAGGCCACTGAGTTCATTAACATTATGGTACCTTTGAAAAGTCTGGCCTGTCTATTGAGTCATGGTTCACAGATAGCTTTGAGCGGTAGAACCGGTCTTCTATCAGGCTGTTGAGATTCCCTCTCCAGCAGTCTTACAGTGCTTTGAAATCTGACTTCTTTCTTTTGCATATCTCTGGTAGAGATTAACTTTGGCATAATGTTCAAAGAGTGCTAGTTTGAGCAGCATAGTTTTTTTTCCAGATTAGATTATCTGTTATTTGTTGTAAAATCAACATAGCATACAGATCTAAATCAAGGGATCAGACCCGTTAGCCTCCTATTACAGAAGCAAGATCATGACTAGCAGATGCACTGTTATGCTGTGTTCCAAGAATTAAGAACCTGTAAAGCTGAGTTAGTGGCCTCATCTAAACACTTGGATAGCCTTTTCTACATAAGAATTGTGAAAGAAATTGAATAGAGGCAGATATGTAAATGGAGGTGCAACTGTTTCTGTATGTTGAGAGTTCTTTACCAATGAAAAGTGTTTTGTGAAATGAAGATGTTTTTAACTGGATAGTATTCACAGCTATAGAATACAAAAAGAATAGTTTGTGTTTAGCAATGATATTATCTGAACTGACTTCTACTCTAAGATAGTGAGGATATCGATGCTTTCAAAAGGAGCTGGGATAGGGTCTTTGTAAGCGAATTTAGTCAAAATGAGGGCTTGGCACGATAAAAAAACGCATGTGTGGTATAAATGGGTAAAGAGACTTGATAAGACATGGTGCCTTTTGGCTGATAATATTATTTGTAGAAACAGTAAACAGTCACCATTTGGGATTAGTGTCTGAGCTCAGAACTGTGCAATGTGGTACAGACTCTACTTGACTTTGGTAATAGTCATCTGATTGGGCTCCCCAAATGTGACTGGAGTTAGTGCTGTGCAGGGCATTTAGACAGGAAGACAAAGTTCCTACAAAATGACTTGTACTCCTGCTTCTTCAAGGGTAGAAATTGCAGGCTGAAGTAATTCAGTCATTGGGTGATAAGATCTTCAAATAATTTTTAAGCGGAATTTTTAATACTGAAAGATCTACCTTGACTTGCAAAGGGGGGTTGGGGATTAAATGTGTAACGCAGTCCTTAATTCACCCAGCTGTAATTGAGTGCTGCAGTGTACTTTTCTACTGACTCAAACTGCTTTGTGTTATTGTGTCACCTTCTATTTTCATAATACACAAATTTGGCTTTAGGCATAAGCATAAGCAAAGTAGATTGCTGCCTAGCACAGTTGTCTGTCTGCTTTGACTAGGTTAAGAGGTGGAGATTGGCCATTCCAGCAGCAAGGATGGCCTCATTTGCCACTCTGGTGTTTTCTTCGTGAAGCTCTACTGCTGCATCTGACAGAGATGGGTCTGCTCCTGGCAGTGTAAATCCCGTACGCCCACTGCACCATGGGGTAGAGGATGTTCTAGGAAGCTGAAAGGGTGAAAAAAGAGGGAGGCTGCGGCACAAAGACCCCTGCAAAGTTATTGACCCCCGTTCCAGGCACTGGAGTCTCCCCGGTCCCTTTCCCAGCCCTGGCGACTCCTCCTAGAACCCATTTTGGTGCTGTAGGATTTAGTTTTGCTGCCTCAAACATTGAGGACAGAATTCTTGCTTTGGCAGAGTTCAGTTTTTATGGAATTGTTGGGAAGCTTTGAATCACCTACTAGATACCTTACCTGGGCACTCTTCCAGCCTTTCTATTAAAGCTGTCAGAATGCTTTAAGGACACTAGTAAGCTTAGCTGCACAGGCTGGGGCAATCTATATTACCATATCTTTTAGATTATTAAATTGAACAGGTCACAGTCATACAGGAAATCTTCTGCAGAAGGTTATTTCGCTATAGCCTGTGAACTGTAAGAGCACTATTTCATCTATATTTTTGATAAGGCATTAAAAACGTTGTACATTGAATAGTTCTTAAATGATGGAAAGTGAGGTCTGTGGACTCCTAGAACTGAATTTATGATCCTGTAAACTTCAAAGCAGGTATGACTAGTGTATGGTCAATTATGTGAAGCCTGATTAATTCAGCCAACCGTTAACTAAGTATTTGTAAATGTTTTTCTGATTATTGCCAGTAAAATCACCAAGAATTAAAAGTTCTTGGAATAACAAGTGGAAATTCAGCTGTAGTTTACAAACTAACAGAACCTGAAAACACTATTGATGAAGCCAGTCAATTTAAAACTTCATTATTAAGGAAAATTGTAGGTGTTCTTTTAAAAATGTTTCCTTGCAGCTATATGAAAGATGTGTGTAAACAGCAGAATACTGCTAGGCTCTTGAGCTAAATCCATCCAGAAAAATAACGGAGGAATAAAAAAATTACTTTATACAATCTTTTGGTGGCAATTTTTTGTAGGACAAAAGATTTAGCTAGACTATAAATGATTCAAGACTAAAAGTAAGTTAAAATCTTAATATATATTAGATAAAACAAGTTATTGTTGTAGTAAAATACAGCAATTCTTCTCTTAAATATTTTACTTAATTTTCATGTCATTATTGTCTTTTAGGATGTCAAAACATGTTTATCTTGCAACCATATCTGTGTAGAATGGAATACTTTTTTTTTTTTTTTTTTAGTTCATATTTGGTCAGGGCATAAATGTAAGAAATCTATCCTATCTTGTAACAAAACTTTTATAAAAATGAAAAACAAGATTGAGGACAAACAGGTTCTTGAAGCCTTAAATTTAATCCGTACTGCTTCTTAATGTGCAGCTGGTAATTTAAAACAATCATTCATCTGAGTAGTCATAATATTGTTCTCTTCTATCCTAAAGATAATCCAGGCAGATTTGATTACTTGTTGGTTTCTAGTCCCTCCAGCTAGAATTTTGCAAATGCTGTAGGATGGGGTGTAGTCTAGAGCCCACAGTCTGCAGGTATTAAAAATGCAAAGATTCAGATAGCTGTTTCCTGATGCCAGGAGAAGTAGAGGTTGGAGCATTGTGTTTATTTCAGATCTGAAGATTTGCCTGTGGAGTTTGGAGCTACTGAAATATAGAAGTTCGAAAACAACCTCTCATCTTCAACCTAAGCTTGCACTTTTGGGGAAAAATATGCTTTCTTATGCTTTGCTAAATCACTCATGGGTAGATTCATTATTCTTCCATCTTCTATTTTCACAAAAAAATTGACAGGGAAAAAAATTCTTAACTTCAGCCAGTATGTGTATATACTTGTTAACCCAACCTAAAAAGGGCCAACTATGGCTTCCTGGGGAAATGGTTTGAGATGTGTGTTCATTCTACTGGCTTTCTCAAATATTTATTTTGAGACTTGTTAAGTATCTGCCTCTTACGTCTACAAAATGCTTCCTAAATTCTGAGACTACTTTGAAGACAAATTCGTTAGTTCTACAATCATTCATAATGGCTATTTAAATAGAATTTAAGTAGCTAAAGAGGTAAATGATCTCCCTCATTGGTCATAGATATATTGCTGTAATGAAACATTCACATTAAAATAACATCAAGATGAAAGCAACAAAGCCATTTTTAATTATTTTTTTTTCCTCAAGGCTGCATTCCTAGCACTGCAAATAAATTAATCTTGCAGCAACTGACTGTTAAGAATATATTTTTGTATGACAAGTGATGTATTTGCATGATATATGGAAAAAATCCCTGGCAGCAACAATTGAGCATTACTGGTACATATTATTGTTGAAATGATGTAGGGTTTTCTCCTCATAGCAACGAATGGTGGGTGCAATTTTTAGAGGATTTAGAAACTTACATTAAATAAGAGCACTGAGATTTGGATATAAAGAAATGGCCTCACACAGTGAAGGAAGTGGGTAGCTCTTTATTCTAAAACACTGATAGAAGGGGTTATCTTTCCAGTGTATCATTCTGGCCTTTCTTTGCCAGCCTTCTTGCTATGTAAATAAAATATGTACATAAAAGTCTGTCTTTAAGTCCTCACAGAATTCTTTGGAAACTTTGAGGACAGCTACCATTTAAAAAAAAAAAAAAAGTAATTATTAACGCATGTGGCTGGGTCAAGTTAATTAAGGTAGTAATAGACACTTTCACTTAACTACTGCTTTTGAGAGACAGCAGTTAAGACTCATGTTGCTGTGGGCACATGGCCCAATCTAACTCCCACTGAAGTTGAGTTAGATCATGTCAGGCTAATTTTGGAAAGTTGTAACCCTGCTCACTCTCAGTTGTTAGCTTGAACTGCTTTTTTCCCCCAGAGAGCAGCATCTGATATTAATTGAAATGCATTTACTTCAGCTGGGTTCTGCTTGCAGTACCTGATCAGCTAAGTCTGTATACAGTGAGCTGGCCTTTCATTTTTGATCTGCCATTTTCCTTTACATGCACTATATATTTTTTCAGGTGATTTGGATGTATGGCAAAGGGGAAATTACAAACCTTTGCAAGGGGGCAGACCTGTCTTGAAAGATGGAGGCAGGACTGATCCACACAAGGATTAAAACTTGTACCCTTAAAATGATAGGGAGCCAGTCAGGCACATCTTCCTTTTAGTGAAGAGATAAGGTGTTATATGTAGTTAATGTACCATCGCTATGTTATAAGGCAGGGGGAAATATTAATTAAGGGTCTTAATATCTCTTTAAAAAAAAAGTTTACTTCAAGACAGAAAAC